TTTTTTTACTTTAAACCGCATAAACACATTTCATTACACCAAATACACAAAATAATGTTCTTTTTAGCAGCATCATATGACCCCTTTAAATTTTAAAGTTGCATAACGTAAACATGGACTTTCATACTTCCTGTTTCTGTCTTTATTAAATAAATAGTTGAAGTAAAAATGAAATTTTGCTGGAAATGTACTTACCCTCAGGCCATCCAAGATGTAGATGAGTTTGTTTCTTTATCGGAACAGATTTTGAGAAATGTAGCATTACATCACTTGCTCACCAATGGATTCTCTGCAGTGAATGGGTGCCGTCAGAATGAGAGTCCAAACAGCTGATAAAAACATCACAATAATCCACACGACTCCAGTCCATCAATTAACGTCAAAATTAAAGTGAAAAGCTGCGTGTTTCTAGTAAACAAATCCATCTTTAAGACTTTAACTGCAAACCGTTGCTTCTGGGTAAAATACAAGTCCTCTATCCATAATATTGCTTTCTCCAGTGAAAAAGTCATCAAAACAGTGCAGAACAGGTATGTTGGTGGATTTTCATGTGAGCAGACAACAAGGGATGGACTTTTTCACTGGAGGAAGGAAGTGTTATCATGGATTATGGATTCCAATAAGCGACTATTTTGGCCAGAAGCAACTGTTTGCTTAAAGGTGCAATAGGTGATTGTCTTCAGAAACATTTTTTGTTATGCTGGATGAAAGTCTCTTCACATCAAGATAGAAATCATTAAGTTAAGTGGTCTAAATGTATTTATCTGTATTTATATATTCTATAAACATCAACAACCCGAACTTCCTTCCTGGTATTGTAGTACTTTTAAAGTTTTCTCACCGGTGAATGACACATGATGTAGGTGGCCCAGCGGTTCCCATTTCCAGTCCTCGCGCATGTATTTTGAATGTCTCGCTTCGATTCAGATAACCAGCTCGTTAGAAGAGAGCTACGTGCATGAACTGTGTTCCGATTGACATGCTCCCTACACAGTGTTCACTGCTCCCTACTCCCTGAGCAGGGGAAATCCGTTGAAGTTTATTTAACTTCGGAACATGGGCTGGAATTGGGAACCGCTGATGTAGCCGATTGTAGTAATGTTGTCTCTGGTATTCTGGTCTGTGAGTGAGCCTATATGCGTTCAGGGGGCGTGGCATTGGACGGCGATTGCAGGGAAGGTGGGACGTTCCCTTTCAGTGCTACCAGGCTAAAGTTAGCATTTTCCAAGATCTCCTACTACACCTTTTATGATGGATTTTTTCTTACAAACAATCTCTTCACTTTGCAAGACGTTAAATGATGGACTGGAGTTGTTGTTATGTTTTTTTGTTATTGTTATGTTTTTATCAGTTGTTTGGACTCATAATTCTGATGGCACCCATTCACTGCAGATGATCCATTGGTGAGCAAGTCATGTAGTGCTCAATTTCTCCAAATCTGTTCTGATGAAGAAACAAACTTATCTACATCTTGGATAGCCTAAGGGTAAGGGTTAACATTTTTGAATTTTTGGGTGAACTATTCCTTTAAAGAAATAGTAAATTCGGTCATCATTTACTTGCCCCTTAGTCATTACAAACTACGTTTATGATTTATGACATTTTTGGAGCTTGACAACATCTGTCCCCATTCAGTTTCATTCTGTGAAAACGAGCACTCAGAACATTCTGTGAAACTACTTGAATGTGAATGAGAATTTTTATTTTTAGGTTAACTAAGCCTTGAAATAAAACCTTGTGGGTTTTTTTTTCTGTTAGGGGGCTACGCTTTATCCAGGTTCTTCTCCAGAGTCTAGTGGATGGGGATAAAGATGAAAACAACCCTAACCTCATCAGAGTCAACATCACCAAAGCTTATGAGATGGCATTGAAGAAGTATCATGGCTGGTTTGTCCAGAAGCTCTTTCAAGTAAGTTTCTTAAAAAAAATTATGTATGTATTCAAAAGTTGTTTTTATCCAAGTTAAAAATAGTTTTTCATCATCTGAAAGTGAAATGACTGAAATGTAGACATTTCTGTTGTGATGACTGTAAATGCTTGGAAAAACCTATTGAGGTTGCCCTGTCTTTTTTAGGCAGCACTATATGCCGCACCATACAGATCAGATTTTCTCAAAGCTCTTTCAAGAGGGCGAGAGGTCAAGGAGGAAGAATGCTTGGACAAAGTGCGGCAGTTCCTAGTAAACTTCACAGCTACTATTGACGCCATCTATGAAATGTACACCAAAATGAATGCAGAGCTGGACTACACTGTGTGATCTCTCATTCACAAAACAAGCAAACTTCAGACCTCATCTTCTGCCCTCCCACTGGATCACTGTCGCCTCCCATTAGACACCTCCTTAGTCTCCTCACTGGACTGTTGTTTTGTCCTACTGGATCCTGCATCTCCAGCAGTATACTGTTGCATTTTCTCTAGGGGGACAATTATGGTCCAAGCTGCTGAAGTCTCTGACGGTTTCAGAAGGGAGGATGTCTGTTATTGTTTGTTCTGTTCGTGTTGACGGTTTGAATGCCTTGGCTTTTCTTTAGAAGAGTAGTATTCTTAAAAAAGACAGTTTGTGAGTGTTTTATAATTTTAACTACTAATCCTTTCTGTTTGATTCTTAATACATGTGCACTTTAAGTATGTGTATGGAATGGTTCTGTATGTGCTCCTTTAACAATAGACTGCAATTGAGGGTTTTAATTTTACTTATATAAATTATACCAAAAACAAAAGTCTGCAGACTCTCTAACCAAATATCTGACATTGACTGTACTGCTGTTTGTTTTTGCTTTGGATTCTATTTTATGAGAAAATAATACTTGAATATGACATAAAATATAAAGAAACCACTTCCTTAGAAGTGACAATGAAGCCACTCTATTGAGTTGCGAAACAACATATTCAGTAAATAGTAAAACCTCTGTAATATTTTCTTAGATTTACTTCTACAAGACATATTAAGACTCTTATTATATGGATGACTGAATCTTCATTGACGTAATTGGTCTGATGTTCTGTTTATGTAATATAATGGATAAGTATTGTTGGTTTGTAGGTTTTAATTAGTCATTTCCAAATGATCAAAGGTTAAATTCATTCACACTGCTTTTTAGAAATAAATGTTAATTTATTTCAATTATTTGTTCTTTATTCCAGCTGCCTTGTGCTTCATTTTATGACATTACAGACTTATTTCACTTTGCTTTTGCTTAGTCAGTAGGCAAACACTGAACAACATTTCAGTTCTATCCCAGGTTACACCACTGCAACAACACTAGTACATTTCACAGTACAACATACAGTGCATTCTGAAGATTTTATTTTAACCAGTGGACTTTGCCTGTTCTTGTTGTCAACTGAGTTGACATCAATAAAAGCTGATTTCTTTGAATTATTTTTGTTAAAGTGTGAAAATCTCACTGGCGTAGAGGACGGACAAAACTGAAGCAGTACATCATGATGACCATGTGGCGGATGCCTTCTGGTGCTGTTTTGCTTTTTCACTGTAATTTATTATCTTAATGTGTCTGGCATTTATCATAGTTATGTGTAGTCTCTTTAAAATCTCATTAAAATCATGACCTTGTGTAAGTCGTTTTGTTGTGTGCTTTCCATTTGGCTGCGCAAAAAAGACCTTAATATTTTGTTCTGTTTTTTGCTAGTATAACAATACTTTCCCCCATATGTAAATGCATATTAAGCCATTGCATAACTGTTCTTAAAATCCAGATTTGAATACATGTACATAACAAATAAGTCATGAATAAACAAAAGTCTTGGGGGCCACAAGGGGGTCTGTGGAAAATGGGATTTTATAAAAGAGAAATATATTACATAATGTATTTTAAGGTCATCTAATTTAAAGTGTTAACATTATATAATGTTTAAAAACATATATAATACATTTAACACTACTTTGTAACAATATACATATAAATCTGAATTGAATTCAAAGAAGCGGGAAGAAAAAATATACATTGTAACTTAAAAAATGCAAAGTATTTATTTTGGTAATAGTATTTAATAATGATTTAATTTCTAAAACGACATGTTAGCTTTATAATGTCACTAATATTAAAAACAAATATTATGATAAGCGCGTTACAGTCTCTTAAGCTGCTCCCTCAGGAGAACACCAGAGGGCGCTGTTCCCAACATTTTGCCTGTATACGCTCGACAACAAAAAGCTTAGCAATGTAAATTAGCCAGACCGGTAAAACCTGTTATGGTAAAGACCATATTCCTCACAGTATTTGTTGCAGCGTCTCTGTAAACGTATATTGAAATCATTTTAATTTTAATTTCATGAACTGTATGACAGCATTACATTTACATTATATATATATTTTTATAAACTTTTACAAGCACTCTCAAACAAACAAACAGATTAAACAGTGTATAATACAGTACTATAATATGTAAAATATATTATAATATAACAGTAAAATATGGTGTATGTTCTCAAGGCGTTAAAAGTAAAAAAGAAAAAAGCTTACTTTCTGCTAACATTACCGTTAGAATGTGAATAGTTTGTGAAGTAACTTCTAGAAGTTAGACGGTGAATATTTAGTTTGTCTACAAGGCTTTCTAAGTAAAAATGGCTTAAGTTCAAAAGTTAGACAGTGAATATTTTGTTTGGTTACGCTTCAGACGTAAAAATGATCCCAGTGTCTTTCGTTTACGTGTCTGAGTGAAGACTTCCACACCCCTAACGCTCATTTTCTAAAGGGCTCCATTCAGTCAGTGGGCGGTGGGAAATCAAAACTCTACTTCTGCAGTCGCTCTGTCCCATTATCAGTTTGAAAAACCCTGGTGGAAAGATGAAGCTGTTTCTAAAGTTTGCCTAAAGAGCTATACGGATCCCACCTGAAGAATAAATGGACGAATCTGACCTCATAAACGGAATAACTACTGATTCTACGTTTAAGAAGAAACGTCTAGCAGTATTGTGTTTACGGGTGAGCAACTTTTCCTATCCATGACTTTTGATGCAGTTTTCTATCTGTGTTGTGGGAATGTTGAGAGATTGAAATTCATTTTAACAGTTTAGAACAATTTCAAAGAGTAACCATTTAGAATTGAAAAAGTAACAGTCCAGAAGAACTTCTTGCCTAGACCTGATTATCTCCAAATCAGTGTTGTCTGTATCCACATAGAACCTGTTTGACATGCACAGATCTGTTGATCGAGCTTATTGTTTGTTTGCTTCTCAGAGGTTTTACAGTCATTTCATGAGCTCAGAACTGTGGTTGAACTGTCAGCAGAACCAGCACTGAATGCTATTTGAATTACATTACATACAAAGATCACAGCTGTTTGACTCTTTGCAGAATTTGTGACATGGAAAAGGAAAAGGAAGTGTAGATCTTCCTCTGGGACTATGGAGATAGAGTCTGTCATTTCCAGCTGTTATCTAATGATATTCTATGTAGACAGGCCTTTTTCTCCATCTGTTACATTTCTCACTAGGTCTCCCGGTTACGTGGTCTGATGCACCACCATCGCACCCTCCAATTCTCAAAACACAGTAAGATGACTTAGGCCATCGCACTTTTGTGTTATCACTGCTTATCAAAACTTTCACTGTTCTGCTTTTTCACTCTCTGTGGTGATATGGACTGTATTGGAGTCGGGTCAGAGCAGAGGTACTGCTGTAGCCAGTATTTGGATAGCGCTTGCCAGGCCAGGGGCAGTTACTGTGGGGGCTTGTGTTTGACTTTCCACCATCCGCTTAAGCAAACATGAGGACCAGATGAAAACTTTCATACTGAACTGCATGGGGAAAGAGTAATAAAAACCTCCTTCAGTATCAATGGTGTAGTCTTAAGGCTGAAATTCAATACATGACTTTTGAAATGCCTGTTTTAAAACAATATAAGCATCATATACTTGCCTATTTTGTGGTTACAGAGAAAAACTCACACACTAAATAACTGAGGATCACCCAGACTTTAAAGTCTGAACACAAAGATTGTCCATACTTCTAAATAAGCTATATGCCAAGGCGCATCTCAAGTGGTCCAAAAATTGTAAAGTTGGTTGAATCTGAACACAACAAACTCACAGAGAAGCATGCGCCTTGCTAGGAGATGCATGACAAAAGAAAACAATATGTGTTTTCTTTTGTGGCTCAAAATATCAAACATGTTTGATATCCTCCGACTGAATGGAATCATAGACTGAAGCTAAACAAAACCTGAGTCTGTGCCCATTACACTTCACAATTTTCTTTGAAATCTTCCAACTCCAACTGCTCGAAATCTACAGACTGGCTCTGACTTGTGACAACTGACGTCAACACGTCCAGAGTCAGACTGTAGATCAATGCCAAAATCTGGGCAAAAATCAAAAATTTGAGAATTTGTGATGTGACAGCATTAATTCTAAAATAAGTAAACATTTGTTGGAGATTACTCTTAAACTTTCTCTCAGAGGAGTTGTGGAGTGTCTCAGACATGTCTGAACAGGACCAGTGATTGTTACTGTGGCAATGAGCTCATGGAGAATCCGAAAAACAGAAACCTGGAAGATGACACTCTCCCAGGTTGCCAAATTATGAGTTCATTTCATTCATTGCCTAAACCTCATGTCATTTTAAACCATATGACTTTCTATCTTATGTAGAACACAAAAGTAGATGTTTTTCATAATGTTCACACTGCTGTTTTCATACAACAGTATGTAGTATCTAGGGAATTTTTTTTTAACTCAAAAAGAGCCATAAAAAGTATCATAAAGTTAGTCCATACCTCTAAATATTCTGCATTTGGTTGATTTTTAATTTTCCACTTTTTTGAGTGATTACCTTTCTGTATTAGTATAGCAAAAACACTTTTGAACATTCTTGTTATTTAGAAATTAAATAAAAAAGGTCAAGCAACCTCCATTGGACCTCTTTAAATGGATTGACCCTGGTGCTTTTTTGTCATATTGGGTGCTTGTCCACCCCTTTTCACTGTCTACTGTGGTTGTATGGGGAAGAGCATTTTGAATGTTCTGTAAAATTTCTTCTATATTCCACAAAAGCAAGAAACTGGGTTTTGAAACAATATGACAGAGTTTTCACTTTTGGATTAAGGGTTTTAAGCAGCACTGGAATTAAATGCAACATCAGCAATAGTGGTTCTTTGATGTGATCATCATTCATTGTCTCAGTTACTGAACTTGGGTGCAATTGAGGAATTTCCCCTTGGACTGGGAAGAGCATAGGACAGAGGGAGTGTGAGTCATGCCTTTTCTGGGAAATGAGAGAATCAGTTTAGGACTTGAGATGAATCCCACAATGGATTGTGACATGTGGACAAAGGGACTGGAGTGGGATGTGTGTAGGTGGGTGTGGAGGGGATATATGGGATGAATAGAGGGATGTTTTTTTTTTTTTAGCTGTGACAAAGTGCCTTGGTTCAAAACATTACATGCATGGGCACCAAAATATATCTTGTCTGTGCCTAAGTGTCCATTTAGGGCAAAAAATTGTGTATTAATAAATTTTAATATTTTTATATGATTTATGTACTTATTATATGGTGTCGAATGACATTATGTGTGTTGATTCAGATTCTGGAGTAGGATTGAAATTCATATGCATAATTAAAAGCAAACCCAATCCAAGGTTTCACAACAACAGTACCAGACAGTCAAAATCCCAAAATCAGTTCAGAACTCGTGTAACAGATTAAAAAAGAAATCTAAAGCAATCGATCTACAGGTGTGAAAGCACCTTACGACTACAAGAGGGTGGGGCAGAAAACAGTGAACTAGGACAAAGCCAAAACCACAGCAGTATACAAATCAACTCTCAGAGCTGCATGTGGGCTGACAAGATTTCACAATGTGCTGAGTATTTATACATAAACAGGAAATATGAACCAGGTGTAAATGACTGAATGGTTTCAGAAGCCTTGGGAATATTGTGGGAAGATGGGTCAGCAGACATGGGTCTTACAGCATGTTTCTTGTTGAGTTTCAGTTTGACAGTTGTCTTCTGTAAACGCAGGTATTGTTTTTTTCCCTTCCAGCTCTGTTTGTGTCCCTGCAATTCTCCTGACACTTTCCAGCTCCCCAGAGGAGTAGTTTGGCATTGGGGAAGTGCACATAGTATACAAAGAAATGACTGAAGTAAGTAGCCTATGTATTTCTATATAATTATGTCCAAGCCTGACTTCATACTTTCCTCAAGACGTCATTGCAGTGCAAAAGTGCTTTTAAAATAGTTTAAGGCTTTCAGAAGGTCAGAAATGCTTTTGATTAACATCCCAAAGTTACAGCAGATGTTTGGTAAGAATCCTTATTGGCGATGCCAACTCTTACGTACATACAACGTAAGAAAGAAGAAAAAGCCATTGGTCTGCTTGCAGTCAGAGTCATGAAAAGGTCTTTAAGCTGTATTTTGCTGTTACATCCAGCTCGTTCTTGACTGCAATTTCAAGAGGTCATACACAAAATGTATTAATAAATAATAGAATATTTTATTAAAATGATTCCATTAAGCTACACTGAGAAAAGCAGAGGTGTGTAGTGGTTAACTTGCAAAAGCAACAAAGTAATATAGAACCGTTAATGAAAGTCAGGACACATGCAAATAGCCTTGACTCTGCTGGAGAGATTAACCTACCTGGGAAAGATCCCTGTCAGAAACAAAAGACACACACCCAATTGAACTAATTAATCACTATTGGGAGAAAAAGAGAGAGAGGAAGGCCAGGGTCATAAGGTTGTCTAGGGGTACCAGCATTCCAGGAGCCTTATTTCTGGTATGTATCTTCATTTTTCTTGTGCATTCAGGAATAAATTGTTTTCTTGATTTCAAAGTCCCGTGCAGATTGATTCCAGAAATGCTTTTTTTCTGGAATGCATCTCTCCTGCAGAGTTCTCGATGTTTAGTTCTATTCATGCTGAAGTGGATTTTCCCAAGGTGAAACCAGAAATCAAGATTTCTATAGTGCTTGCCTTTATACAATACAGATTGTGTCAAAGCAGCTTTACAGAGATAAACAGAAAAATAGCAGAATCAATAATGGAAACAACTATGGAGACAAGTCAGGTTCCACTGTAAAGCAGCTCTTTTATGAGTTCAGTTCAGCTTTAAGCAGTTCTACAAAAGGCAGCAATGTCTTTATCCAGTTCAAGTCAGTTCAGTGTTGATTCAATTCAGTTTAATACCAGTGTCGATGTTGCATGAAGATGTAAAGCAGCTCCACAGAAGATGATAGTGCCATTAATTCAGTTCAAGTTTTGTTCTCATCCGATGGTGTCAGTCAGTGCAGTCATATCGATAAATTTCTTAAAATTAAGTGACTTTAAGACCCCAATTCAGCAAGCCAGAAGGCATCAGTGGCAAAGTAAAACTGTATTCCATTTCCTTATGTTTGGCCTTTTTTGATACTTGAAAAAAGTAACATTTAACAAGTAACATTTGAAACTAACATTTAATGGAACAACATAGCATACTTCCTGGAAGCAGCAATGCTATTTCGTGTCATACTTGCTGTATAATATAATTTATATAATCAGACCAGGACAACAAATAATCAAGGTTCAAGCTTACTAATTAGCATACAGTTGAGGAAATAAGTAACTTTAAGTAACTGTATATTTTAGATAGTTTCCAAAGCCCTGGACAAGATCCATTAAGCAACCATCTAATAAAATCTGACATATTGGTTGAGATAGTTGCCTAGCTGCAGTTTTAATTACTTTCTATTTAAATGATCAACTTTTGGAGGTTCTGATGTAGAGCATATTCCAGAATAATATAGTGTTTATCTTGCTTTTAAAGTTCACTCAATCCATTTTTGACTTTCCAGCAGGGCTTCTCCGCTTCCACTCTATTAAAGCGCTATCGTCTGGCCATGACAGAATCAAACTCAGTCTCCTCACCATCCGGTACTGCTGCTGAGGACCCGTCAGAGGGTAAGGACCTTTCAGCAGATGGGGATCCCAACTTCCCCATGTCTTCACTGGCAGAACTTCTGGACAATGATGATGGATCACAGCCGCCCCAGGATTCAGCTCGACCTGGACAACAGAATGATAACAAGCAGAACTCGCGGATAAGATTCCCAGGAGCCTTTAAAAAGGGAGTTCCTAACCCTATGGACCTTCTTGAGTCCACCATGTCTGAGTATCCAGTGGCACCTGGGCCTAAGAAAGCACCTATGGACTCCCTGTTCGACTATGGCACATGTAGGGAGGTCAACAACCAGAAAAAACGCAGGAAGAAACTTCCACGAGGGTGAGAGACATATAGCTTCAGTGATTTTGGTTTATATTAGGGCTTTTGCCACTTTTGTTGATACAGTAGCAGAAAAGGTACAGGAAATGATGAAAGGAGGGGATGAGAGGAGGAAAATGTCGGAATCAAACTTGAATTGCCCAAGCACATGTACTGCTAAGTCATGGCAAAAATGCTTTTTGGCTGGTATATAACCTCTCGCCCTCTGAAATAATTTTCTTTGTTGCATGATTTTTAAAATATATATAATATAATATAATATAATTCTAAAATAACATTTTACATACTATCTTTTTGTATACTTAAAAAAATACAAAGTTGTTAATAAGTGTTTATTATCTGGACTTGTGTTTCATTACCTAGGACAGCAAGTGAGCCAGGACTGCCACTGCCAAAACCCCCCAAAAAAAGTATACAGTTACTTTCAGGAATCTTAAAACAGAGTGGGGCACATCGATTACTGGGTGATAGAGTGCAGACTGGGGTTTGGGGAGTCCTTATTATGAAATAATCACTCTTGGCAATGTATTATAAATATTTATGAATAAATATTTATTTGTATAGCACCTTTCATACGTAAAATGCAGCTTGAAGTACTTTACCGGTCAGAATACAAAAAATATAGAATATAGTTAAATTGAATGTTTAATTAAGAAAAGCCAAATAGGAATTTTCTTTCTTTAATTGTGGCGAGACTATGGTCAGATCTCCTCTGAATGCTTTACAGATAATGAAGTGTCACTTTTGTATGTATTATGCTTAGGGATGCACCGAAATGAAAATTATGGGCAGAAACTGATAATTCTAGATGCACTTGGCCGGAAAACAAAAACCGTAAATGCTTTGTAAGAATGATTTATTATTTTATTAAATAATATAAAGTAATTTTGTAAGACTTTTTAATTTAACGCAACAATTTTCATGATACTGAATAAAAAAAAACACAAGCCAATGAAATAACCACACTTTTATTAAAAGTAACACAAAAAATTAGACAGAAAATATATTGATATTAAATATCAATATATTATTTTTATTCAGTATTATCAGAGCATCTGAGCAGAGCATAACTGGGAGCAGCTCAGTGAATGCGAGGGTAGCTCATTTTACCAGCGTTGCACAGTACAGCTGTACTACACCATGTTACAGCACAGTAGCGCTATTGCAAACAGGAACAAGTACACTACATAGACATTTTCTGCTGACTTTGCTTTTCCGGTGAGCATGAGCGGAACGCACAATTTGTTTTTATTTTTTACTATGAGCATTATGTCAACCAATAAGAAAACAGTTGCAATACAAAAATACAAAATAATAATAATAATAAAATAAAATAATTTAAAAAAAAATTATAATAAAACAATTAAATTACTAGACAGGGGTATAGAATTAAACAAAACACATTGCATTCAAAGGAAAAGATTAAACAGCTTACAAATTTCAATAGTTTTTAAAGCCTTCTTAATTCATGAGTTAGAGATAGTCTCAAAGTAATGCTGTATTTCAGCAAGCAAAACATAAAACAGTGGCTTTTGAAATTAAAATTTACATTTTTGTATATACAATTTTGTTAACAAAATAAGGAGATTAAGTAAGTACAATTTGTTTTTCTGTAAATGCACTTTTTTTTTGGAGCGGAACGCACATTCATAGAGCGGAATATTGAGCGGAGCGTCACAACGCGCAGTGACGACAGTGTTGCCAAGTCCGCGGTTTTCCTGCGGAACTCCTGTAGCTACTTTAACACTGTTGCCACGGGTTGTTTTTCATGTCCGCGGGTTGAAGCGACTCCAATAACATAATATTTATCCCCTGGAATGCGTGTATTTTACCCTCGAAACGCGATTTTTAATTGTGGACCCCCTCGAAACGCCATTGGGCTAGTTTTGAGTAGCGATTGGGCGGGTTTTCCTGGCAACCCTGGACTAGAGGGAGCGTGAAACCTGCGCGCTGCACACTGCTGGGAGGTGCGGCGCGCCGTATATTTTCTGTGACCGAAATTTTGGTGCATCCCTAATTATGCTCCATGCTGAGGACAGTCTACTCATGATTTTGCACTCGATCATGCACAGTGGGGAAATGAATGTCTGTTGTCGTTTCCATGAATGCTTTTGGAGTAATGTTTATGTTGAGGTCTGTTAGGCAGTCAGTTTTTCCTCAGTAGACTTATTTATGGATGTTATTTTTTTTTTATATAGTCCATTAGGACTTAGCTATGGTAAAATTCAAGCCAGGTAGGGTGGTTCCTCTGGCTGTCATTACATCTCAACCGCTACACCTCAGTGTTTTTGTAAATGCCCTGTACAATTATATATTTGTTACATGTTAAGGTGCAACAAGTAATGCTTCTTCCAAAAAAGTTTTATAGTGGTTGTTAGAGTGTAAATGACACTCATATGAGATGAAGACTCCAAGGGCTTAAAAAAGTGAAGTCAATCCCCCCATTAAGGAAGCTGTGTTACATCACGACCAGCAGTGTCTTGCAATTTAATCGATGTCAGATTTTTGGTTTAGGCCACAAAAAAGAGACAGTGAAACATAAACGTACTTGGTGCACTTTTAACTGGAGTCGTAATCTTCTTTAAAGTTCCTTTAAAAGCATGTGTTTTCCCCCTACAGGAAGGCCGAGACTGAGATGTCATGTGACGAGGGATCCCCAGAGCCCCCTGTTCTTAAAGTCTTCAATCGCTGGCTGTTGTTTGAAGCCGTATCTCGAGCAGATCGAGGAGCTCTGGATGGTCTCCTGCAGTATCTTCAGTCACATGAAAAGAGGCTGATAGATGAGGAGTTCAAAGGTGCATTCTGGGAATGGTTTAGTCTATGAGCAAAGAGCAGTAAGTGTATGTTTAGGTTTGCTGTCCAGAATTCAGACTGAACAATGATGTCTTAACAGTTTTATGTGGGTAAGAAACTGTTAATAGGAAATTTTACTTCCCTTAATAATGATTTCACTTTTTTATTAAAACGACAAAGCCCTCCTGTATTACACATGAGAAATCAACAGGGTCATGTCCCTAAATATCCGATGTTATCGCAACCCTTTTCCTTCATGGTCCATTTGTTAGGCTTTTGTTGTTGTGCTTTTTTCATTTAGCAAAGGAAATTCTATTATATCAGCTGACGTGACCCCGCAAGGTGGGGTCGTATTTCTACTTCCTGCCTCAAAGGCCAAGCAAGCTTTTGACAGAGAGTAGTAAAAAATCGCAGCAAACTGTCACAAATGGAAGGAAGGATTCTGTTTGAGGGGATCAAACATAACTCTGGCTAAATATAAACGCTGGAAAAATTCTCACTTGATCCATGAGTGAAGTAGATCAGGAATTAGAAAACTAGAGGAAAATTTGATACCTTTATGAAAGAAAGGCAGCAAACATTGCTGATACTTTCATACTTCAGATTAGCGATTTGAACAAACCCCTAACGTTAATTATTAAACTTTAATGTGCAAATTTTCTCTTAAAGTTTGCACTTGCTTGATGTTAAAAAAGCCAAACAAAATCCCATAGAAGTACATTGAAGGAGGGACACCGGTCATATCTAAGAGCCAGATTATCATACAGACTTGGGACAGACTCAAATTTTCTTAATAAAAGGTAAAACTCTAGTTGATAACAGATGTTCTTTCCTCTACTTTCTCTAGAACCTTCTACAGGGAAGACGTGCCTACCAAAAGCACTTCTGAACCTGCACAATGGTCACAACGATACCATCCCTGTGTTGCTGGACATTGCCGAACAGACAGGAAACCTCAGAGAGTTCATCAACACGCCCTTCAGAGATGTGTATTATAGGGGTGAGTCCTCCAACCACTAAAGACTGACCAGATTCAACACAAAAAATTCAGCCGTTAGAATCTGTTTTCAAGCATCATTTGTCTTAAAAGTTTCCAAAATCTGTGGCTTGAGCTAATGTTTGCTCTGAGCAGCTTCCAGTGCCGCCCTGAGCAGGTTAATGAAATATGAGCAGGAAGGTGGAGTTTCATGTATGCTTCTGACTGAGCTCAATGTTAGAGAAGTTACCCCAGAGTTAGCGTTTCTCCACCCTGTTTAGTACAAAGAGTCCCCACAAGCACTGCTGAATTTGACGCTGTTCCTCTGCGGCCTGTTTAGGGTATTTGAATTTGCCAGTGCCACACCCGATGCACTTCATAACTTTCCCTTCCCTCTGATACATAAAAATGATGAATGTTTTACATTACAGTTTTCAGCGCTGAGGCCTAGCAGCTAAGGCACTCTGGTGCTCCTGAGGGTGACAAATTCAAGTCCATCTCATGTTATGTCTCTTCCTTTTTTCTTTTCTTCTATGTCAATTAAAGTGGTAAATGGCCAAAATGTTAAAAACATTCAAATATATTAAAATATGAATATACATTGCCATTCAAAAGTTTGTGGTCAGTAAGATTAATTTTTTATTTTTTTAAGAAATTAATACTTTTATTCAGTAAGTACACATGACATTGATTAAAAGTGACAGTAAAGACTTTTACATTGCTACAAAAGATTTCCATTTCAAATAAATGAAAAAAAAAGTATCACAATTTTACAGTTTTGCTTATTACTATTAATGTTGAAAACAGTTGCTTAATTTTAAGAAATGTTTCTTGAGCACCAAAATGATTTCTGAAGGATCATTTTACACTGAAGACTGGAGTAGTGTCTGCTGAAAATTCAGCTTTGCCATCACAGAAATAAATTACATTTTTAAATATATTGAAATAGAAAACAGTTATTTTAAATTATAATACTATTTCATAATATTACTGTTTTTGCTGTAGTTTTGATCAAATAAATGTAGCCTTGGTGAGCATAAGACACTTCTTTCAGAAATATTTAAAAATCTTACCGGCTCCAAGCTTTTGAATGGCAGCATATTATAAATATATTACAGTAATTTCATTTTTATTTATATGTTCTGGCAGTAGACTCATATATAAACCTAATTTTTTATTTTTATTCCATTGTAATCTTTGACATGTTGTACATGCCAGGTTTGTAATAGCAGCATTATTAATAAAGGGAAGTTAAAGAGTTCTCGAAATACATAATAACGTACTTGCAGCAGACTTTGTCTAGTCTGCCTCTCATTTCCTCAGGAAACAATCACTCACACATTGGTTCAGTTTGTTTACTAGTGTTGGTTCCAGTCCTCCAGGCAGTAAAGTGTATATGTCAGATAGGCTAATTCTGTCAGGCAGCAGATTTCCTTGTGTAGACCCACTGCCAAAATCAAACACATACAAATGCACTGAACTACTAAAATCAAGTCATTTAAGATGATTCAGTTCTTCTCAGTTCAACCAAGTATGTGATAAAATACTTCCTTAAATTTGGACTTTAGGTTTAGGCATCCTTTATTAGTGTATTAAATCTGAGGACAGTAGAAAGAAATAAAGTTATATGTAGTCTCTAGTCACAGTCACTAGGGACAAATGTTAATACCATGCACTGGTGACACATTCGTTGTTCATACACACGTTAAGATACTAAACGTAATTATTTTGTAAATATGGACACAGGGTGGCGGTCTGTTCAAACTGATGACACATGGGTCACTACAAAACATAAATGTTAATAGCCAAAGCAAACAGAACTCAGTGTATTTTCGTTAATCTAAAATATATCTAAAAACGAAAGGAGCAGGTGACCTTAGCAGAGAGAAAAAAAGTTTTTTTTTTTATGTCCTTTAGAGCTCTCACACAAACACTCAATACAAAACTACAGGCTCTGGGCACAACATGAGCCGTATTGCCTTATTTTCATATTGCAATATTTCCTCTTGTGTAAAATAAGTTGATTGTATCTAATAATATCATGCTGGTTCCCGCTGCTCTGTGTGATAAGATGTGTCATAGATAACAGTTTTTTTTTTGTAACATTACAGAGCGCTTTGGTTTGGATGTTGTGCTCAATTCATTATCATGTGATGAACTGCTTCTAACTGATTCTTCACTGGCATCTGCATTTATAATAAAAATGTGGTGTGTCTGTAGGTCAGACGGCACTGCATATCGCCATAGAACGACGATGCAAACAGTATGTGGAGCTTCTGGTGGAGAAGGGGGCTGATGTTCATGCCCAGGCCAGGGGCCGATTCTTCCAGCCCAGAGAGGAGGGTGGATACTTCTACTTCGGTGGGTTTGTTGATGCTAGTTTTGTTCTAAAGGTTTAAACAGTCTGTGTTGCGAGTGATAAGGAATATAGTTCAAGATCCAACCAGTTATTAATGTACTCTGAACTCTGTTGTGAAACATCTGGCCCAATGATACAGTGCTAACCTCATTACAACCATGCTGGAGCCTTTAACTCCCAAAGTGATGTGTGGGAAGCTCCATTTCCTGTTTTATCAGTCACTTTGTGGTCAGTAAGATTTTATTTTTGACAGAAATGAATATTTGAATGAGTAATATACTTTTATTTAGTAAGCATTAAATTGATCAAAAGTGACAAATTTAAAGACACGTATAATTGTAAAAAAAAAAAGAGAATGTAACATTGAAAATAATAAGAAATATTTATTGAGCACCAAATCAGCTTATTAGAATGATTTCTGAAGGATCATGTGACACTGATGATCTGGAGTAATGGAAGCTGAAAATGCAGCTTTGCCATCACAGGAATAAATTACATTTTTAAATATACTGAAATGGAAACGTTATTTTAAATTATAATAATATTCCACAATATTGCTGTTTACTGTTTTTGATCAAATGCAGCCTTGTTGAGCATAATAAACCTTTCCCCCCAAAAAACAATGTTGAAAACGGAGTGATTTACTGGAGGTCTTGACATGTATTTCTTCTGTTTGAGAGAGTTAGAAGCAGCAGTCCGGCCATTATAACTTTGCCAATGAATACACAATACATTATACAATACATTTGGCCCAGTGATTCCCATAGTAACATCAAGTGATTTTCTTTCCTTTTTTCCTAAAACCCTCGCTATAGTTGGCAAATGTAAGGAGCATTACACAGTTTACATTCATTAGCTATGAATAAAAAGGTTTCTGGAGCTTAGAGGAAAACCAACAAGACATTATGTCACAAATAAAACAAGTGTTGGATGTACTAAGGATGTAAGAGATTGAATGGAGCTTCTGTTTTTGCAATGGAAAATACATTAAAAGGGTCTTATATTTGGAGGCCTGATGATGGTCTGATGTACACCAGAAAAGTTTCCTCCTCATCTGCCTGAACACATTCTACCCCCTGTTGACCAGAGTGTGTTATTACAGCTGTGTGAAAATTGATTTTCTTAAAGGGATAGTCCACCCAAAAATTACTCACCCTCATGTTGTTCCAAACCTGTATACATTTCTTTCTTCTGTGGAACACACACACAAAAAATATTCTGAAGAATGTTGGTAACTAAACACTTTTGGTTCCTATTGTATTGACAAAAAAATACAATGGAAGTCAATGGGAGACGAAAGTGTTTGATATTAATGCATACAGGTTTGGAACAACATGAGGGTGAGTAAATAATTTTTGGGTGGACTATCCCTTTGATGCATGCTTCTACATGCTATTGTGCATGATTCATTAGTGCATGTAATTACAAAGAAAAGAAAAGTTTGTTTTTGTAATTTTTCATCAAAATGTAAGCTTTGCTTTGCTTCTAAAGCGAGTGACATCTTTGGATAATATGTAATAAGTCCTGCCCCTACATTTCTTCATCACAGGAATAAATTACATTTTTAAATATACTGAAATGGAAACGTTATTTTAAATTATAATAATATTCCACAATATTGCTGTTTACTGTTTTTGATCAAATGCAGCCTTGTTGAGCATAATAAACCTTTCCCCCCAAAAAACAATGTTGAAAACGGAGTGATTTACTGGAGGTCTTGACATGTATTTCTTCTGTTTGAGAGAGTTAGAAGCAGCAGTCCAGCCATTATAACTTTGCCAATGAATACACAATACATTATACAATACATTTGGCCCAGTGGTTCCCATAGTAACATCAAGTGATTTTCTTTCCTTTTTTCCTAAAACCCTCGCTATAGTTGGCAAATGTAAGGAGCATTACACAGTTTACATTCATTAGCTATGAATAAAAAGGTTTCTGGAGCTTAGAGGAAAACCAACAAGACATTATGTCACAAATAAAACAAGTGTTGGATGTACTAAGGATGTAAGAGATTGAATGGAGCTTCTGTTTTTGCAATGGAAAATACATTAAAAGGGTCTTATATTTGGAGGCCTGATGATGGTCTGATGTACACCAGAAAAGTTTCCTCCTCATCTGCCTGAACACATTCTACCCCCTGTTGACCAGAGTGTGTTATTACAGCTGTGTGAAAATTGATTTTCTTAAAGGGATAGTCCACCCAAAAATTACTCACCCTCATGTTGTTCCAAACCTGTATACATTTCTTTCTTCTGTGGAACACACACACAAAAAATATTCTGAAGAATGTTGGTAACTAAACACTTTTGGTTCCTATTGTATTGACAAAAAAATACAATGGAAGTCAATGGGAGACGAAAGTGTTTGATATTAATGCATACAGGTTTGGAACAACATGAGGGTGAGTAAATAATTTTTGGGTGGACTATCCCTTTGATGCATGCTTCTACATGCTATTGTGCATGATTCATTAGTGCATGTAATTACAAAGAAAAGAAAAGTTTGTTTTTGTAATTTTTCATCAAAATGTAAGCTTTGCTTTGCTTCTAAAGCGAGTGACATCTTTGGATAATATGTAATAAGTCCTGCCCCTACATTTCTTTTGTCATGTCAAATATTCTAATTAGTTTATCCTCCCAGGACGTTAGTGGTTACAAAGCTGTGATTTTAAAATCAAGCTGAGAATTTGAATTCCCTATTCATGAACCTCATTTACATCTCACAAATTTTAAACCCCAAAACAAGACGTCTGCTATGGAACTGATTGAAAGATGCAAAACTATTTTAAAATAATCCAAGGATGACAGAATAGGATGACAGAATAGGATTATCTTTTCTGGTGCCCTGCCAGGAGTCTCCATCTCTCTTTTATTCACCTGTAAATTATTTTCATTTGTATTAGACACGGCTGTCAGTGTTTAATCCGTCCTGATCTGAGCACGAAGGGAGTCATTCGCCGCGGAGCTTCCCGGTTCCCTGTGAGCACTGACAGCTAATGTGATTTAGCAGTCACGCTAACCGCTCTCTGAGCGCGTGCAAATCAATGAGAGGGAAGCGTTTCTATAAGAAGTGACATGAAAATAATCTGTCACCCCTGGCAACAGCTCACTCTCAAGTCTCTCTGTTTGGTTTTCCTGTTTGAGATGGCTTGCTTTTGAGACAAGCACTAATTGAGTACTGGATACAAATAGTGACATTTAGATCAAAGCATATTTGTCATGTGAGCCCTGCAAAGGACTGATTGACTTTTAGTGGCTAATTGTATTTCTTCATCGTGGTGTTTAGTAAAGGAAAATAATAGATAAAAGGGACATCTGGAGGTTGGAGTCTAATAGCTGGGCAGAGATCCTAGAGCATTTTTTGTGTTTTGGATGCTGGTGCTCATCAGGCTTTTTAAGTAGCTTAACCAGCAAGACTACCGTTTGGAACCAGATTTATCGGACTATGATGGTCAATCAACAGCTGAACCAACTCAAAACCAGCATAAACCATAATGCTGGTCTAAACTGATCTTTTCAGTTGAACAGTGGAAAACACTTACAGATAAAATGATGCACTGAATACATGTGTCTGCTATAAACACTTCAAAAGTTAAGGGATTGGTAAGATTTTTTAAATGGTTTTAAAAGAAGAATGTTCACCAAAGCGGCATTTATTTTTTAAAAAATACAGTAAAAACTGTAATATTGTGAAATATTATTACAATTTATTAATAACTGTTTTCTATCTTTATATATTCTAAAACGCAATTTCCTGCTGTGATGGCAATGCTGAATTTTTAGAAGCTATTACTCCTGTCCTCAGTATCATATGATAATTTTAATAATTTAATTAATTTAACATGATCCTTCAGAAATCAAGAAACATTTCTTGTTAGTATCAGTTTCTGCTGCTTAATATTTTTGTGGAGATACATTTTTTTTCAGGATTATTTGATGAATAGAAACTCCAAAACAACAGCATTTATTTGAAATACAATCTCTTGTAGCATTATAAATGTCTGTCACTTTTGATCAATTTATTGCATCTTTGCTGAATAAAAGTATTCATTTCTTTAGAAAAATCTTTCTGACCCTAAACTTTTAAATGGTAGTGTATGTAAAGAAAATGTTGTTATAATGATTTTGTTTAGAATTACAATTTAGACAAATTGACAACTTAAACTGTTCATTATATTGCCTCTTTCTCATTATACAGGTGAGCTGCCTCTCTCACTCGCAGCTTGTACCAACCAACCAGACATGGTGCATTACCTGACTGAGAATAGCCACAAGACGGCAGATCTGAGGAGGCAGGATTTAAGGGGAAACACAGTCCTGCACGCCCTGGTCCATATCGCTGACAACACTCGGGACAACACGCATTTCGTCACTAAGATGTACGACTTGCTGCTCATCAAATGTGTCAAACTCTACCCAGACTGCAACTTGGAGAATGTACTCAACAATGATGGCATGTCCCCTCTCATGATGGCTGCCAAGCTGGGCAAAATTGGGGTAGGAGATCGCCTTATACTGGCAAAGCAGCTTTAGGAACATGCATTGGGAAAATGTGGTAGGAAATGGCAAAGCAAACTAAAATGAAATGTTTTTTCTCCACAGGTGTTCCAGCACATTATCCGGAGAGAGATAAAAGATGAGGAGGCTCGACATCTTTCCCGGAAGTTTAAGGACTGGGCTTATGGACCCGTCTACTCCAACCTGTATGATCTGTCTTCACTGGATACCTGCGGAGAGGAAGTTTCTGTTCTGGAGATACTCGTCTACAACAGCAAGATTGAGGTGAACATGTGGATAGACAAAAGAAAGTGAGAAAGATAATCTCTGTACTGGATGGTGCTCCATATTTTGTCATGTTATCACATGAGATTAGAGGCCTTGCAAAGTACATAAACAGCAGGAGGTGAATGATGTGACATATCTTGTGCAAGTTGTTGTGAATGTATAGAATAGCATGTATGGAAATGGTATAAAAATGCACAAAAAATAATAATCACCAAGAATCTTTTTTCATTAAGTTGATGGCTGTTTCAGTGATCAGCTTTATGACATGTTTTATCGGTTGTGCCCTCAGAATCGCCATGAGATGTTGGCGGTGGAACCCATAAACGAGCTGCTGAGGGCCAAGTGGCAGAAGTTTGCCGCTGTGACCTTCTACATCAGTGTGTTTTCCTACCTTGTCACCATGATCATCTTCACTCTTGTGGCCTATTATCGTCCATCAGTGGGTACAGTGAGTATAGTCTGCAGTTTCCAGTCAGACTAATCTTCCATCTGCTTCAATGGGGAGAGAATGAAATCTCCTAAATTGTTAGTCAAGATTACATTTTGGTAACATGTCAAATTACAAAACCAATAGTATTATAATTAAATTCAACCTTTAGCTCAAGTCAGGCTAAAGCACACTATATAATTTGTCTAGCAGGTATATTGAGCTTTCTCGTATTAATTTTTCTGTGAGTAGACAATATTCTCCTTATATTGTTACACTACCGTTCAAAAGTTTTGGGTAAATTAAATTTTATTTTTATTTAATTTTTTACAAATATTTTAAAAATATTTTGATTTTTGATTTTTTTTTAGCAAGGATGCATTAAATCAATCAAAAGTAACAGTAAAAACATTTAAAGGGATAGTTCACCCAAAAATGCAAATTAGCCCATTATTTACTGACCCTCAAGCCATCCTAGGCATATATGACTTCCTTCTTTCAGATGAATCCAATCGGAGTTATATTAAAAATTGTCTTTGATCTTCCAAGCTGTTTAATGGCAGTCAGCGGGTGTTGCAGATCATCAGTCCGAAAGAAGTGAAATAAAGCACATCCATCCATAATAAAAAGTGCCTCACTTGGCTCCGGGGGGTGAACAAAAGCCTCCTGTAAGGAGCAAGCTAATCGAAATCCTCCGACATTCTTCTTTACAAATCCTCGTTTTGTACTTCTAATTAGTGACCGTTGTTTTGTTTTGATCTCTCCCCTGCGCTTCCGCGTTCGTCACTTTTGAGCGGCGCATGTGCAAAGCCGACCTCATACGTCATCCGCCCGGAACTGCTTCCGTGTACAACAGTGAGCGCAAGCTAGATTATATTAATTATTACGTTTTAACTATGGTTATGTTTCTTACAAAAACGCATCGATTCGCTACAGGAGGCCTTTGTTCACCCCCCGCAGCCGTGTGAGGCACTTTTTATTATGGATGGATGCGCTTTATTTCACTTCTTTTGGACTGATGAACTGCAACACCCACTGACTGCCATTAAACAGCTTGGAAGATCAAAGACCATTTTAATATAACTCCGACTGGATTCGACTGAAAAAAGAAAGTCATATACACCTAGAATGCCTTGAGGGTGAGTAATTCATGGGCTAATTTTCATTTTTGGGTTAACTATCCCTTTAATATTTCAAGATTTCTATTTCAAATAAATGATGTTCTTTTGAACAAGCAGCACAGTTGTTTTTAACATCTCCTATTATTATCAATGTTTCTTGAGCAGCAATTCAGCAAATTAAAATTTTTCTTAAGGATCATATGACACTAAATGAAGACTGGAGTAATGGCTGCTGAAAAATCTGCTTTGCCATCACAGAAATAAATTACATTAAAAAAAAAAAATTAAAATGGAAAAGTTATTTTAAATTGTAATAATATTTCACAATATTACTGTATTATATTTTGTATCAAATAAATGCAACCTTAGTGAAAATAAGAGACTTCTTTCAAAAACTTTAAAAAGTCTTACCGACCCCAAACTTTTGAATGATAGTGTACATGTGGGTGTTCATGGTTTTTATATAAAAATACAGAGTAATAACTCCTTTGCCAGATGGGCCCTCCTGTGTGATAGATAGTTCATGTGGTAGAGATACTTTCTGGGAATGAACAGGTCTGTAGTTGATTCCTGAACCATATACCTCCACAGCCCCCTTACGCCTACAACACCACAGAAGACAAGGTGCGTTTGGCAGGGGAGATCATAACCGTGGCTTCTGGAGTCTTTTTCTTTGTAACAAATGTAAGCTTTACATACACAATAACCAATCATTTTTAGTACTTTTTTTTTTTTGTAAGATCACACTTCCGTCTCAGCTTGCTAAAAGCAACAGTGGTTTGTATGTTTTAGTATGTTCAAAATCACTTTTTCCTTCCCTATCTTTCCTCCTTAGCTATCACTAAAAACCTTTAGCAGCATTTCTTGGTTTTCTCCCCTGATTTAGATTAAGGACCTTAGGCCTATGTGTCTGTGATGGTGTTTGCTCTAGCACTAGGTTGGATGAACACCCTCTATTTTACCAGAGGCCTTAAACTCACTGGAACTTACAGCATCATGATTCAGAAGGTATGAAAAGAGCAGGTTAAGGACCATGTACAGTAAATTTAATTTAACGATTCTAAATGGTGAAATCACTTTGATAGTGATATTTGTTTTCTTTACTTTTTCTTCTCTTCACCTATTTTTATGATTTTACTGACAAGTCTTGTTAAGTAAAACAAATCATAGTTTGTTTAGCTTCTCCCCCCCCAAACTTATATTTTTGTAGTTGAATCGAAAAATAAAATATCACATATACTACTGTTCAAAAGTTTGGGGTCAGTAAGATTTAAATGTTTTTGAAAGAAGTCTCTTATGCTCACCAAGGCTGCATGTATTTGATCAGAATTACCTGTAAAATTGCAGTAATATTATTTATTATTACAAAAGTGTTTTCTATTTTAATATATTTTAAAATGTAATTTATTCCTGTGATGACAAAGCTGAATTTTCAGAATCATTCCAATCTTCAATGTCACATAATAATTCTAATATGCTGATTAGGTGCTCAGTTTCTTTTTATTATCAACATTGAAAACAGTTGTTCTGCTTAATATTTTAATAAAAACAGAATGTTTTTTTCAGGATTTTTTGATGAATAGAAAGTTCAAAACAGATATATATACATGCATAAACACAAACATACACAGACACACACACACACACACACATAAATATATATATACACACTGTATATAATGTGTATATTTATATATAAATCTATTTTAATGTTTAGTAAGGTCCACTGGAAATGGGACCATGTGTGGTTTTCTTTTTCTGTAAATATAGTGAAAGGTAGGGATGGTATTATATACTGATGAAACATATGCATATGTTTGTATATAGTTAATGTCATATTATCCCCCATTATTTTCCAGTAATGACTGCATCCTAATAGTGTACACTGCTGCTAGAAACTACATAAAACCCTTATAAAAACTATCGTCTTTGCCGGTCTGCTTTCTTCTCATATTATCAGTGTAATTAAGAGACCATTACGTTTACCCATTGTGTCTTCAATTTGGGTATTTTGTTCAGATTCTAATCAAAGATTTGTTCCGGTTCCTGCTGGTCTATGTGCTCTTCATGATCGGCTATGCATCAGGTATTCTAGTAATAATAGTTCATTTATTGGTATTTTATGGAAACATTTGTCATAATTAGGGAAACTTTCATTTTGTGTTCTGCACCAGCATTAGTGTCACTGCTGACCATCTGCCCTGATAAGAAGACATGTAATGATAGCTGCCCCAAATACCCAGAATGCCGAGATGCAAACACCTTCAGCGAATTTCTCTTGGACCTGTTTAAGCTGACCATAGGCATTGGAGAGCTGGACGACATGCTAAAAGGCGCACAGGATCCCGTCGTCTTCCTCATTCTCCTGGTCACCTACATTATTCTCACCTTCGTCCTGTTACTCAACATGTTAATCGCTTTGATGGGAGAGACGGTGGGACAGGTGTCCAAAGAGAGCAAGCAGATCTGGAAACTGCAGGTGAGGTGTACACAAAAGGTCAAATGTGGCAGTCTGTTGTATAGATAGATAGTATTAAAATTGAGGTCATTTGATCATCATTTACTCTCCTTCATGTCATTTCAGCCCTATATATTTGAATGCTTCTGTGAAACACAAGAGATGTAAGGCAGAATCCAAAATTTTATTTTCCCAAAGTATTATAAAAGCTCCATACAAATCTCCTTTTGTGGGAAGAAAATAAAATACTGGGTTGGAATGACATGAAAGAGAGAAAGTGAATGATGGCAGTTTTTGGGTGAACTATTCCTTTAAGTTTTTGTTTCAGTGGTTTATTTTGGTGCCCATCTGACTGGAAGTTTTTTGTTAGCTTCTGTCCAAGGCTTTTACCTCAGTATTCGGTGGTTATAAATGCCTTTCATCTCACACATGTCATTTTCCTTTTGTTTGCATCAGTGGGCAACAACTATCCTGGACATTGAGCGGTCCTTCCCTGTGTGTCTGCGGAAGTCTTTCCGTGTTGGAGAGATGGTTACTGTGGGCAAGGGCTTGGATGGAACGCCAGACAAACGCTGGTGCTTCAGGTACAGCTACAAGATATCCACCACTCATTTATTAAATTACAGCATAAGCCTACAAGTAATTTACAGGAGTTCTGGGCCTTCATTCTTCATGCTACAGGGTGGACGAGGTGAAGTGGTCTCACTGGAATCAAAATCTGGGGATCATAAACGAGGATCCAGGCCAGAAAGACCATTACGAACAAACACAGGGTGGACGGGGCCTTCGAAGAGGTTGGTAAACAAGCAGACATGATTTTTCACAGCCATTATGCTGCATATATAAACCCTTAAACAAATATAATTTATGACTTCTGGGCGCAGAATTTACCCAGTCATAAACGAGGATCCAGGCCAGAAAGACCATTACGAACAAACACAGGGTGGACGGGGCCTTCGAAGAGGTTGGTAAACAAGCAGACATGATTTTTCACAGCCATTATGCTGCATATATAAACCCTTAAACAAATATAATTTGACTTCTGGGTGCAGAATTTACCCAGTTTTCACTCAGAAATTGCTAGTAAAGTAATAAAGTAATACATTAGATAAAACATGAAACTTTGAAGTAGTAAGACTGAAATAGTATTTTCTTGTAAAACGTACTCCAATCATTTTTGTTTTATTTATAACTTCGAAAAATCTTTTTTTTTTTACAGTATAGTAACACAGAAAATACACAGTAATACACAAAAATGTATGTTTCAAAAATCAGCTAACAGCTGTAATTTCTCTCCTCTACTCCAACAGATCGCTGGTCCACGGTCGTCCCAAGAGTGGTTGAACTGAACAGGGGCTCCAGAGACCATACCGTAGAGATGGAGCCTCTCACAGGCAGACACAGACATAAGTCTGAAAGCTAAAGCTGAACGCTAAGGACTTAAAAGAGGGTCAAGCCCTTGAAACTTTTATTAATGGGCTGACAGTTATGTATTTTATAAAAGCTGACAATAGTTCTACAGTTTTTAATCACTATTGGGAGAACAGCTCTCTATATATATATATTATGACTTTTAAAAGTATCCTGATTTTTTATGATGATGATTGTGTTTTACATGTATATTTGGACCCATGAGACACTCAGGGACATATTTAATGTGTAATGTTGTAGTGTTTTTCATGGCGTGTGCAATAGATTTTAAATAGATTAATCAATAATCATGTCAGATTACCTCAGTGTTAAATGTGCCTTGTGATAAAGTACAGTCTTTTTTTTTAATGAAAAATTCTATTGTTATTCTTTTATTATATTGCCAACCCATAATGGAAGGACAAAAATGCTGCTCTGATTTGGCCTTTGGCTTTGTATTGTAATAAAGGTCATGTAGAAAACAGATGTGGCACCCACACCAGGAGTGTGTACAATGCCAGACAGCAGCAGTTTGCTATTTTCACCTCAGTATGCTAGCAATAGTGTGACACTGAACTTAATTGGTGTGATAGTGGTAATGATTTAAAGCCACCGGTTCAGTTTAGAGGTTTCTTATTTCACTGATAAACCAATGCCAAAAGACGCATATTTTAGGGGAACTATTTGATGTATTTTTAATATATTTTAAGACCATTTCAATTTTTTGTATTATTTTTGAAGTCCATGGAGTGTGATTTATAGAGGGCTGGAACAGGGCTGATTTCAAGCCTGATTTCCAAACTCTGGTCATTGCAAATATCCTTTATGTCTTATATTAGACACTACGTATTGTTTAGGCATCAGAAGAATGTACAGAAATAGATGGTAATATATTGTTGGTAGCAAATATTATCCTGCCCGCATGTTAGATGATTGATGGTGCTGTTGATAAACATTATTTTATGTGCTGGATTGGATGACTATTCCAACAATCAGAGAGATTTGTTTCATCAACAATAAAGAGATTTTGAATCACCCACTCTTAACTAGCTGAAAGAGCAGCTTTGACTTATTCGTATTAAGAGTATATTCGTATATAAGGCTTATGTATTTTTAACTCATCTCTTGCTTCTTAATCACTAATCTGTTTACCTTAAAGGAAAGAACTGAAATTCATTACTTGACTAAGGAATCTTCAGAAGTCACATTTAACTTGCCAGCAGTTATTTTACATCGTGTCATAATAGCTCTAAAACATTTTAATAAAACATGAAATATATTGCTGTTTTTTTTAACAAGTATGCTTGTAATTTCATGTATCTCATTTCAGCTAATTAAAAATTCTAGCACTAATTCAGAACATTAGATCATGAATGCATTTTAGTCACTCAGCGTCATTACTGAGACATCCTTCTGAAGAATGAAGAATGAGACTATTATGGAAAACGCATTTTTAGAAAAAAATTAAATGTAAATTAAGTTGTATTAAATGAATGTTCCGTTCTTTGGTGAAAGTCTGCAAAAGTGTAAAAAAAAAAATACTCGAGACTACCTGACCTGTTCTAGGCGTTTTTTTTAGTGTCTGTTTTTCTCTTGACCGCTAGATGGCCACAGAGTGCCATATGTTTACTACTGCTGTTCTAACACACATCAACTGAAACTTACAAATTGCACCCGTGTACACACAATCAGTACTGTAGTTTCATATTTTATTTTGAGTTGTATTATGACTATTAATTGGTCATGATTGAATAAAGTAGTAAAGTTGTAAATATGTATTCACATGATAACCCAAAATACTATAATGCTACTATGCTGTCAAAAAATTTACTTATAGTACAACCATAGTACTTTTTTTTTACATTGTTGCTGTAAACGGAATGAAAATGACACACCTTCAGACCAGACCAGTAAAGTCACAATACAAATAACAGAATATACAACCGCCATGCACAAATATTCACTCCAACTGAGGCGATACATGAACAGCCATGACTCCATGACACTTGCTAAAGATGGTCCAGTGCACCGTCCACTGCAAATCAAATCACTGCTGCAGTCACGATTTGCAAGAACAGCTGCTACACCTCCCTCATCTTTGCCATCATTTTCCACCACTTTGGTGACAGGCGACCTTGTGTCAACCTGCAAGATGTGATTGTTTTTTGCATGCTCAGTAGCAACCTACGAACTCCCCCTCTCTCCCCCTTCATCCTTCTCATCCTCGTCCTCCTCTGGCTCCACCGCTGAAGGACATGCTGGATCTATTGCCACCTCTCCGAGGAGGCTAATCCTCTTTAGCTCCAACTTTAACTAGGCCATTAATCCCACAGGAGTTTATCTAAGCACTGAGCACCTCGCACTGCTGACACTTTAGCCTACCCATCCTCCTTCTTTCCCTTCTCTCTCTCTCACTCTCTGTAAGTAGGGCACGGTCTGGGCCAGCAAGTGTCACCGTCAGCACCTCTGTAACCACAGCAGAACCTAAGCGGCTCAGCACGCAACCGCACACTCCTCTATGTGAGACAGCGAGAACGACAGACCACAGGTGAGAGCTGCAGGAAGAAGAGAATACAATAGAAAGATGCAGGAAGGAAATTAATTAGAAAAGAGATGGATGATACAAAGAAGAAAGATGAATGCTTGGCCTCAGAATGATGAGGCAATAGCTCAGCGTTGTTTGTCAGTGCTGGTCTAACGTTGATTTAACTCTGCAGCCCAGGCCCGAGCAGATGGCTTATTTGCCAGTGCACTGATACTGTGAATACGAGTGTGAGTTTGTGCTCAGAAGCCAAAGAAAATGGTCCTTTTTGAACACTGCAAAAAACATTTTTTACTTTTTTTTTTCTTGGTTTCCAGTAAAAATACATAAACATCCATAAATCTATTGAGGTTTATGCTAATACCATTCTTTATTTCAAGTGAAAAAAGGGCAAAATCTATTCTGGGGGACAAAAAAATTTGCAGAACAGTACAATAAAAGATTTAAAAACGAACAAATGGCATCATTTTGCAGAGTATATACCAGCTAGAGAATGGCTGGTTGCATAAACTGCTTAGACTGGGCTTAAAAGCTAATGACTTTTTTTTGCAAGTCTGGTTATGACTTCTTAAAGTGAGTTACATAAAAACATAAATTGGTCTAATTTGAATCCAAAAAGTAATACTGATTACCGTGTGGTTACCTGCTAGTTAGTCAAACTAGTTCTTAAGACATGGTGAATATATTTATGCAAGCATACTGATTAAGAAGAGAATATTTTGAAGTGAACGTGTTGGTTGCATTATAAAACACTGCACACTGGGATCTTTTTCCTTCAGAATGAACCATACAGTATCAGTCAGTCTTATTTAAAAGTCAAATCTAACTGCCCATGGGTGTATTATCGGATCCATGACTTATCCGAGCACTCATTTGCTCTAACATATGGGCAAATGGCTAACATCGGCCGGAGTCGGCCCTGCTGACCTAAGGGCGGCAGATAAATGAGGTTATGGTATTGACACTGTTTAACCCCTCTCTGTTCTTTGCTGGTTCAGACATTCCTCTTCTCCCAAGTAAATTTGTTCTTACTTTGAAGAAGGAGGAAGGCATAGCTTTCAGACACAGTGGTGAGATTCGTCGCCAACGTGAGACATTTCTGAATGAATGAGATTTGCAGTATGAGACAACAGAGGTGGGAGTTTCCTTGTTTGGATTGGAAACAGATTTTTGTGTTCTTACATCACCACTTTGAAAACACTAAAGCTTTGAAAGTCTTAATCTGTTTATTGCAAAATAAAATGTGTATGTATTGATACAAAATCAACACTGTGCTTCACACAGCAATATCTATCATTTTATCATCTATTTATTATTATTATTAATATTATAAATTTTCGCCTGGCTGAGGTCTACATACAATGTAACTTAATTCATATTTTTCTTCTTTCTTTCTTCTTTCTTTCTGTTTTTTTTTTTTTACACAACATAGGATTTAAAATGCAAAATAACTATCCAAGATGACAACTCGGTGCCATGCAATCATATTAAAGTAATTTTTTTCAGTGTGGTAAAAACTAGGCAAAATTTATCTGAATGACCTACTGCCATATGATGGACACTTTACTATCTTAGGATGAGGCATTACCATATTTGTAAATGGCAGGAAATAATAACAAAGCTAATGTCAAAGGTGACATGGCAGATTAGTATGACCAGATTGTAGTCATATTACACACTTCTGATGCTTACAGAATGTACTATATTAATGGTCCAGTAAACTCTTCATCAAATGCATTACATACTCTGACAGTATGCGATTTTAGGCACAGATCAGTGGTGAATTCGGAATTTGGAAACTATTTATGCAATGTCTTTATATATGCAGAAATATAAGTCTGCTAGTATGCTATTTTCCAAATTTAGTCTGTGTATTTCTTACTAAGGAGGATGTTTTGTCTTCTAAAAGTTACAAGCATGTTTTCATAGTCCAATGAACAAATTTATCTAAGAAAAACATGACTCCTCACGATGCTTTCAAAACAACTAATATATTAATCCGCCACATGTGACCAAGAAGTATTTATTTCAAGTAGTAAATCTAGTCAAAGCCTAGCAAATACAAATTGATCTAGTGTACCAGTTTAGCCTTCATCTTTGTAAATGTAGTTAAATTATTAATTTTTGACAGCCGTCGGTTTGCTAATTCGCTGGAAGATGTGCAGGTGAGTGAGTCTGTCTGATAAAAGGATTCCTGCTCACTGAATTTATTCTTCTGACTGATTAAGCCAGAAATCATTGCAGAGTTAATCAAACACACTCATGTGCAGCTGCACATTCGCTCACAAGCCTTAATGAAGCCAGACATTGCTCGGCTTGGGTGGAGTGCTGATGGCACAATTTTGGGTGCTTGAAGTTGGATTTGTGAGAAATTTCTGCACAGTTGAATTCTCACACTGTTATTTTTCCACGTTCATGGTTATTTGCATTTCTCCCTCCAAGCCCCACATACATTTACCCTCCATCCCCCAAAAAGCTTTTTCGCTCTCTCTCTCTTTTTTAATAGTCTTCTCACACACAGACTGATAAAACCCATTTATTTGTACACCCACCAGCACAAGGGAAGCTACTTTAAAACTGTAGCTGGTTTTTTATTAGTATCCTTTTAAGTATATTGCTATCCCTATTTTTTATTTTTTTTTACATTTTAGCATATTTACACTAAACACCACCAATAAACCAAGAAAAACCTGTGATGAACAGCAGTATTTAACTAGATATAATTTTGTAGAACTGCAGAATAAGCAGAAC